CGGCTGAGGAACCTCCCCAGCGCCGCCAGGCAACCGGTCAATTTCTGGACTTCTTTTACAGTGCGGGGAGACCGCATGTCGATGACCGCCTGTACTTTTTCCGGATTAGCCTCTATGCCCATTTGGTCGATAAAAAATCCGAGGAACTTCCTAGACTCAACACCAAACACACACTTCTTTGGGTTAAGCATGACCCGGTGCCGCCTGAGTGTGGTGAATGTTTCTCGGAGGTCCAGTAGGTGATCCGTCTGTAGCTTGGATTTGACTATCATGTCATCAATGTATACCTCTACATTCCTGCCAATCTGGTTAATGAAAACTGTGTTTATCATGCGCTGGAATGTAGCCGGTGCATTATTTAACCCAAACGGCATCACCTTGTAACAAAATAACCCCTGATCAGTGACGAAGGCCGTCTTTTCTTGATCCTTTTTCCACAGGGGTATCTGATGGAAATCTAAATAGGCATCCATGAAACTCATCAAAGCATGACCGGTTGTCAAGTCGACCAGACTGTCGATCTTTGGAAGCGGGTAACTGTCCTTGGGACATGCTCTGTTCAGATCTGTGTAGTCTACACACATCCGCTAAGTACCATTCGGCTTTTTCACAAGGACAACGTTTGCTACCCAATCCGGGTAGTAGCATTGCCGGATGAACCCAGCATCTAACAGCTTTTTGACCTCAGCCGCTGCCGCCTGAGATCTTTCTTCACTGTGATCCCTCTTTTTCTGCCTGACCGGCTTCTTTTTAGGGTCCACGACGAGCTTATGGACGGCTAGATCCGGGCTGACGCCTGGCATCTCTTCCACTTCAAAGGCAAAGATGTCTTTAAATCCTTTAGAAGTTCAAGCAGGTCTGCTCCCAACCGTTCAAAAGCAACCGTCCTAATCTTGATGGTTCTGTCAGGGCGGCTGTCGTCTAGGACGACATCAAGGCAGTCACCAGCCGGCTGAGGTCGTTGGTCATCTGACCTTTCCCCGGCTAGTGATTGCTATTTTTCTTGTTTGACGGGTTCCATTAGGTCCGCCTTTCTTTTCTTACCGGCTGCCCTTGGAGCCGAGACTGCTGTATCGCAGTCATCAACGTCTATGGGCTTACCGTCACCGGTTGCCCCCATAGTCGGTTTGATGTCAGAGAGATAGCACTCCCTAGCTGTCCTCTGGTTCCCTTTCAGGGAACCGACTGTACCATCATCCTTTTCAAATTTGACGAGCATGAGCGAGGGGACGATGACAGCCTTGGATTCGTTGAGGGTCGGACGGCCAAAGATCATGTTGTAGGCGGCCAGTTCCTCTACAACTAAAAATTTCACCACCATGTGGCGTCGTTCCCCCTTTTCACCTGGTCGGATGGGAAGATCTATGCTTCCTACCGGATGCACTACTCCTCCCCCAAAACCAACTAGTGGGTGAGGCGCCTGGTGCATGTTACTGGATTTGTACTTGAGCTTGGTCAAGCACTGATAGCTGATCAGGTCAGACGAGCTCCCGGTATCTATTAGGATCCGACCAACCCTCTAATTGGCAACTTTACATTCGATGACTATGGGATCATCGTGAGGCCGCCTGACCTTGCCTCGGTCCTTTTCAGAAATAAGGACCTCAAGAAAGGTGTCTTTCGACGCCTGGCCCTCATCCACTGAGTTGACCAGCTTCCTGATGTTATCTTTGGTGCCCCTAATAGTGGGGCCCCCTCCGGCAAAACCGCCTGCTATGGTGAAGATAGTTTCTTCATCCGTCTCAGAGTTGGTAAGCACAGGTTTTGCCGTCTGCCCCTTCTTTGTCTTGGCTTTAGGCATATAGGACTTCAGAGCCCCCTCATCAGCCAGACGGTCTAATAGCTGCCTGAGGCTATAGCAACCATTAGTGTCGTGGCTGACATCCTCATGGTACTGGCAGTATTTGCTCTTGTCCCGGTTGGTTACAGGACTTTTCATCGCAGCCGGTTTCTCGAGAGACATCCGGTCTTTGATCTCCATGAGGATGGAGGAGCAGTCCTTCGTGAACTCGTACTTGGGAACGTATGGTTTAGATTTCCGTCTGAACTTCTGAGCCGGCTGGGTCGGTCTGCCGCCCAGACCTCTTTTCTCTTCTTTTCTTCCTTTTTCGCCGGCTGTTGCTATTGCCGGCTATCTTTTCTGTCGAATTTTTTGGAATCCGACGGCTGCTTTACAGCGCAAAGCTCCGTCGCCTGTATATAGGCTTCAGCTTCCATTAACGCCTCTTGAAGGGTGGCTACCCTTTTCCGGACGAGGTCGAACTTAAAGGTCAACCCATCCTTCAGACCCTTAAAGAAGTCTGTGTAAGCAACTTCGTCAGACATTCCTTGAATCTGAATTTTCATCAGATTGAACCGTCTGACATAAGACCGGAGCCCTTCTCTGTCACCCTGCTGTATTGCCCCTAGGTCAAGACTAGTCTTTTTGGCAGGGATATTCATTGAAAAATTTGACGTAAATAAGTACGCCAAAGTTCTGAAGTTGTTGATGCAGCCGGCTGGTAGATTACCAAACCACCGTTGGGCAATGCCCTTCAGGGTAGCCGGGAAGCATCGGCACCAGAAAACATCGTCCAACCCCTGTAGGTACATGAGGTTAGAGTAGGCCATTAGGTGGTCTTCTGGGTTGGAGGTACCATCATAGGTCCCTACCAACACGTTCTTAACCTTAGCCGGCTGTGCCGCCTGGGTTATCTCGGGGGAGAACGTTGTTGGTTGTTCTCCCAAATTTAGCAGGCGCAGCTGCTAGTCCATGGGCTGGTACGACTGCTGCACATGCCCACCAAAGAGACCCGGTTGGGTGAAAGGGGATCCACCCAGTCCGTTTGGCGAACCAAATAGACCAGGCTGGATCACTTTGGGTCCAGACCGGGCGGAGGGCTCACCCGTCTGACTCCCTAGGCTTGTTCCCGTATGCCTGTTAGAGGTGTCACGAAAACTGTCTGGGAAGATCGACGTAGAGACCGACGCAGACGCTTGACTTCTCTTTTCCTGGAGGAACGTCCGGGCATCAGTGAAAGTCTTCTTGGAACCATTTGGCTGTAAGTGTCGGATGGGTTTTCTGAGTTCCGCCTAAGGGAAGCGAAGTCTGTTTGGATCGAACTTGAGGCCCTCCCCCTCCTTTGGCTTTGGGTGAGGGGTAGGGACCCGGTCTTTGATCATCTTCTTCCCAGAGGAAGGCTTCTTGGCCGGCTGACTCTTTTTGGGAGTAGCTGACCGAATAAGGTTCTTAATCTCGCCCTTGAAACTATTCATGAAGGTCATGAGTTCGTTCCTGGTGACGGGAGCAGAGCCTTCTGCCGCCTGGGCAGCTTCAACCGGGTTGCTGGCTAGGTTGCCTAGAGCAGCTTGGTTATCCCGTTCCTTCTTATCTCTGGAACGGGTGTGTTTTGTTCTGAAGGACCCGTCTGGGGCCACATAGTTGTTGACTTCATAGTCGTCACCACTTTCATGGTCCGTCTGGACCTCAGGCTCGACCAACGGCCGCTTGTCCTGATCCGGTGGTACAGGGCTAGAAGTCATCTCAGAAGTACTCTCCCCACAGACGGCGCCAAATGTTTCGGGGTTTTCTGATGTGTCCTACGGGAGAGTTACAATTCCAAGAATGCCCTTCACCGCTTGTACCTGCAAAACCACGAAGTCTCCAGTTGGTTGGAGCTCCGCCTCCGACGATCAAGTCAGTAACGTAAAGGAGGAAAAGTGTGCGTTAATAGTGAAATTACTTCTCATGTAATGGGAGAATTTTGCAATTAATATTGCTCGAGATTGGTGTATATATTTTTTGAATGCCCCATTAATGAGGGTCCTTCCACTATTTATAGTGGGGAGACTTGGTTCCCCATTTAGGGTTCATTGGACACATGTCAGCAGGGGATTGGAGCCCTGCTGACCAATGGATGGGTGCCACGTGTCACTAGGCCATTGGGCCACGTGTCTGGGGTATTTTTTACCCCAAACACATACCTTTCCAGGATTTTCTGGATCTTCAAAACCTTCAGGTTGTGTCATATACACATCCTCCATCAAGAACCCATTCAAGAAGGCGGTTTTAACATCCATCTGCTAGATTTCGTAATTGAAAAATGCAGTAATCGCTAGAAGAATCCGAATAGACTTAAGCATTGGTATTGGGGAATAGGTTTCATCATAGTCTATGCCATGAATTTGTCTGAACCCTTTTGCAGCCAGTCTTGCTTTATAGATGTAGGCATTTCCATCTTTGTCTGTTTTGATCTTGTAGACCCATTTGCAACCAATTGGTTTAACCCCATTAGGCAAGTCTACTAGGGCCCACACATCATTTTCAGACATGGAGTCCATTTCAGATTTCATGGCCTCAAGCCATTTTTCTGAGGTGGGGCTTACCAAAGCCTGCTTGTAGGTTGTGGGTTCCTCATTCTCCAACAAGAAGATTTCGGAATCCTAAGTCAACAGAATATCAACAAATTGTTTGTTTCTGATTTTGCTAGACTTAAGTAGGAGAAACAATAGAAATATTCTCTTCAACTCTTTGAAGATTTTCGCAAGAATTAGATTCAAGTGGGACGATAGGAGTCTCGCTAGTTGAATTAGCTTGCTCCAACGCATGATTTGTCAAATTAGTTGACATATGTGCCCTATGCCTCTAACGTGGTGTTATCCACATCCATTTGTTGCTCGTCTCGAATTTCTTCGAGAACCACTTTACTCCCACTTGGCTTTTTAGAAAGAAATTCCTTTTCTAGAAAGACACCATCGCGAGTAACAAACACTTTGTTATCTTTGCGATTGTAGAAGTAATACCCTCTTGTTTCCTTGGGATAATCTACGAAGAAACATTTGTCTGATTTAGGGCTGATAAGTGCATAATATACCATATTTTTAGCCCTAATATTAGTCTTATAATTGTCTTTAGTTATTATTTTAGAAGTTTAACTAACTTTTATTATTTTAGTCGTATATTTATCTTCTATTAATTTTATTATTAAGTTGGTATAAATATTACTTAATATGTTTATTTTGTTAATTAGGAATTGTGTGGAGAAGCAAAAGAAGACAACAAACAAAAGGGCAATTAAAGAAAGCAGCAAGTAAACAAAAGAAAAATAAATAAATAAAATAAAAAGAAAGAAAGAAAGATCACGTGAAAGGGGTACAAAAGTAAGTAAGCAACATCAAACAAGTCAGGAAAAGGAAAGCTGAAAAGATAGAAATCTATCTTGCTTTCATGATAACCGAGGCCTCCAAAGTAACTCCATGTTTATCTTCAACAACCTCTTCAAAATTCAAGCAGAAACAAGAAGATGATGATTTATCCCAATTAAAGATTCTATCTTTTCATACCCGGAAAACGTAGGTTATTTTTTTGGGCTTATAAAAAAAGCCCCAATTAGCTCTTCAGAAACGCACAAGTTTTACTACGGAGCTTTCATCGGGAACTTGTGAGGCTTGGTGAAGTACGATTGATCTAAATTTGATAGACTAAGCGATACCGGAAGGTGAAGGGACAACTTAACGACAACAATCTAGCGGCGGCCGTTTGATTGTGGCTTAGTTATGAGTTCCCTTCACTCACTCTTAAACTCTTTCAATTTTGTGATTAATCTTGTTGCTTAAACTGAGTACGATGTAATTTGTCTTCAAATTTATGATATTTTTCCTGTTTCACCGTTTATACGCTGAGTTAAACGAGTATCAATGCTTTGGTTTGTGTGTTTAATTAATTCACATGATTATTTGTTCTTACATGTATGTTTAATTAATATATACTTGTGGTAGTGAATGATTGCTTGTATGGAGTAATTAGACTATACTAAATTATTACTTGACGCGGCGTTAATTGATAAATTAGAGGAAATAACTTAGTGATACTAGTTTGAGCGGGTCAAGTTTAGTATTGTTGAGTTTGTGAATTAGTTTAATAAAACCACTTTATTGGGGTACGTAGAAAGTATATTAGCAAGATTCTAATTTTAGTGAGCAACATATGTCAATTAGACTGCAGCGGTGATTTGTCTACCTAAATACTAAAATTGAGTATCGAAGGAAATTAAAAGGAGTGAAGTTTGGAGCTAATTTATATCGTTTTATCCTATGATCAAATTAATATACCAATGGTGGTTTGCTTGTTGTCTATTGTAAATAGTAGATTTATATTTAGTCTTGGTAGTTTAGTTATTAGATCACGATTTAAACCCCCCCCCCCAATCTCATGTACATAGTGTAAATAATACTCTATTATGTATATGGTTTATTTTTCGAGTTAGACTTTAAGTTTTAAGATTTGATTAATCTCCTCGTGGGATCGACCCTTACTTACCCTTTTTACTAGTTGTTAATATTTTTGAAGGTTAAGTTAGGAAAATAAATATTTAATTTTATACGGTAAACAACACGTATCAAATTTTGGCGCCGTTGCCGAGGAGATTAATTTTAGTTAATAAAAAGTTTAACTAATTTGCTATTGTTATTAATGAATATACACATATAGCTGACAATGACTTATAATATTATTACTGTAAGATGTCTATTTTGACTATGTCATAGTTCATTCATGTTTCAATTCACTCATGCCATATGTCATAGCTTTTCTAATTACTATATATGAACATGAGGTATGTGTGTTAGTGGCTTACCCAGTAGTATGCAATTTTTTTTTTTTTTTTTTTTTTTTTTTTTTCTAGTATAATGATTATGGTTGATTATTGCGGTTGTCATCTATTGTTGTTTGCTAGTATGATGATTGATGATGTCTCGTGAATTTAGCTTATTAACCAATGGAAATATAAATGATATGCTAATGAATCATAGTGATTATTACATGTTTACTGGCCAATTTTTATTAACTCATATAATAGTGGGTACAAAGACAAGAATATGTCATGTTTGCTTATCAGTTTTTTGCATGATATATACTTGTATCTTTGAGGTAATCGGGCTCCACCAATGAAAAATATCACCATATAGTTCATGTCTAGTAATTTTTGAATGAGCATTTTATGATCTTGCCCTTATTCTTGATGTTCTGTGTTTGATCAGATTATAATATTGCAAGAATTGTTCTTAACCCTCTGTTTTAGCATGTGTGGATCGGTCTAGCTGATGTATCATGCATGTATCATATGTCCTGGGAGTTTCCAGAAACATCTGACAGTGTATAAACTGGAATAAAAGATATTAGTTAATTTTGGTTTCTTGCACTTGAACTTTGAGTTATTAATCTACAGAAAAGTCCTATGAGATGATAAAGGTTGACAGGGTACATTAATGTTGGTAAACCTAGTCCTAAAATCAGGAAAGCCTATTTGCTGAATATGTTACATGCCAATTTGAACAGATTCTATCTTTACATGTTGTGTGATTTCAGTAGAAAAGTTTTTAGCTACATACTTAGGACTAGCAATTCATTACCTTATGCTTAATTGCTATTGAAGTGAGTATAATCAATGCCATAAGTCCATGACTACTGAACTTAACTGCCGTCTATGAATAATTATTCTTTGAATCCAGCAGCTTATAACTAGACAAAACTTATAGGGTAATGAGATATATGGTATATGTTTGCATTATAACTTAATTCTAGCCCTGGCACTAGCTCAATTTGAATATGAAATCAATTTTTGCTATAAAGATCCAAGTTAACAAAGTTTAGATATATAACTAACTTTCTGCCAGATTGCTAGTTTCTTTATATGAGGTTTAAATGCTAATGAAAGTGCAGTTTATTTATTGGTAGAAGATAGTTGCATCCAAATCATCTTATCTTGGCTACTAAAATTTCTGTCCAGTAATGGATTTTTAAAACTTCTGCTATAATATTTCAAGTCTTTCTCATAAGTTTTGTTTTTCTTTATAGGTGTATGAACGCGTATGATCCAGAAGCAAGACTTCAGCGCATAAGAGCATACATAGGCTTCCTAAACGAGGCTGAACCAGAGAAGCTGCTTCACATTTTCAGTGCTGAACCAACACTTGAAATAGAAGATCCATTACCGATTGAATACAAGAGCATGGCAGAGCGAACATTGAAGGAACAGGGAGCCCCAAGAACAGGAGAAGATCCTCTTTGCATTGTCTTTCTAGAGCTAGAGAATCCTCTAAAGCTGAATTCAGGTTTCCTTAATCTTCTCCCTAAATTATATGGGAATGCAGGTGAGAATCCTTATAGACACTTAAAAGAATTTAAGGTTGTATGCTCTTCCATGAATCTTGAAGGCATAGAACAAGAACATATTAGATTGCATGCTTTTCCTTTTTCTTTGCAAGATCCTGCTAAAGAGCGGCTATATGAGCAACTTTCACCTAGTTCTATTAATTCTTTGGCAGAAATGAAAAAAGTTTTTCTTGAAAGATTCTTTCCTGCGAGTCGTATTGGTTCTATTAGAAAGGAAATTTGTGGAATTAGGCAAAATAATAACGATTCTTCATATGAGTATTGGCAACGTTTTAACAGACTTTGTTCATCTTGTCCACAACACCAAATAAGTGAGCAACTGCTAATTCAATATTTTTATGAGGGGTTTTTACCTAATGAGAGGGGTATGATAGATGCATCTAATGGGGGGGGGGCATTAGTAGATAAAACACCAACTAAAGCTAGGAAGTTAATTTCTAATATGGCTCAAAATACTCAACAATTTGGCACTAGAAATGATGGTAAAAGAGTTAATGATGTGGACTTAAGTGGAATTAAAAGTCAATTACAAGAAAATGCTCAACAAATTGCTATTCTAACCACCTTAGTGTCTAAAATTGTTCCTGGCAATGAGTCTACAGCTAAAGTATGTGGTGTTTTGTTCTGATTTTTCTCATGCTACTGATGAATGTCCTTCTTTACAAAGTGAAGATGTCAATGCTTTAAATAATTTTCCTGGTCAATCTCAGAGGAAATACAACCCTTTTCTAATATTTATAATGAAGGTTGGCGTGACATCCTAACCTTAGGTATGGAACTAGACCACCATTTTCTCAATCTAATCAAACTAGGCCATTTGTTCAACATAATTCACAACAACAATCTGGTTCATCATTAGAGGATTTAGTGAAACAACTGACTACCCAAATTGGACAAGTTCATAGTCAAGGTGTCCAATATCAAAAGAAAACTGACACTCGCCTACATCACATAGATACTCAAATAGGTCAAATTAGCACTTTTCTTAGTAATTTGGAATCTCAACTTTTGAATAGGCTCCCCTCTCAAAAACTTTCCAATCCAAATGAACATGCTAAAGCTGTAACACTTAGGAGCGGTAAGGAGTTAAAGGAACCTAAAATAAAGAATAGATAATTAGAGAAAAAGGTAGAAGTCAGACCTAAGGATGTAGTTTGTGAAAGTAAGGAAAATCATGATAAAGGGAGTGAGAAAGAACCTATAGGGAAGGGTAATTCTGATGTGAACTTTGATGTACCCCCTTTCCCCTCTCGATTTGCTAAAGCTAAGAAAGAAGCCCTTGACAATGAAATACTTGAAACATTTAGGAAAGTTGAAGTGAATATCCCTCTTCTTGATGCTATTAAACAGATACCTAGGTATGCTAAGTTTCTAAAAGGGCTCTTTACTAACAAAAGGAACTTTAAGCCTTGTGAAAAGGTAAGAATGGATGAGAACATATCTGTTGTGATTCAAAAGAAACGTCCCCCAAAATGTAAAAACCCTGGCATGTTTTCTATCCCATGTAACATTGGTAACTCAAAATTTGAAAGATGCATGTTAGACTCAGGTGCCTCAATTAATGTCATGCCTAAATCTGTTTATGAAACTTTGAATATGAGTCCTTTGTCTGAAACTAATGTTGTTATCCAATTAGCTGATAGATCTAATGCATTTCCTATGGGAGTTTTGGAAGATGTACTTGTTCAAGTGAATGAACTAGTTTTTCCTGCTGATTTTTATGTGCTTGATATGGGTGATAAATCTGATAGTGTTCCTTTATTGTTGGGTAGACCTTTTCTAAAGACTTCCAAAACTAAAATTGATGTTCATGAAGGTAATTTGACTATGGAATTTGATGGCAAAATGATTAAAGTCAACATATTTGATGCTATGAAATACCCTAATGATATCAGTAATGTTAGTTCTATAGATTCATTTGATGCATGTGATTGGATGGCTCAGGATGTTTTTGATGAGTGGTGTGAAAATTTGTTTGAAAATGGTGTTTTTGATGATTTTAAGGAAATAGAGAGGATTGATTCTTTTGTGGCTTCTTCTAATAAGTCAAAATCTGATATATCTGTTGAATGTAAGTCGTGTTTGCCTTCTTCTGTACCTAAATCGATTCCTTCCATTATCAAAGCACCTGAATTAGAGTTGAAGCCCCTTCCTTATAATTTGAAATATGCTTATTTAGATGATAATAAGACTTTGCCTGTCATTATCTCAAACTCTTTAAATGAATCTCAAGAAACAAAATTGCTGACTATACTTAAAGAGTACAAAGCAGCCCTAGGATGGACTTTAGCAGACATAAAAGGCATTAGTTCTACCTTATGCATGCATAGAATTTATCTTGAAAAGAATGCTAAACCAACTAGAGAGGCTCAACGTAGATTAAATCCTTCAATGATGGAAGTAGTTAAAAAGGAGATTCTAAAATGGTTAGATGCAGGAGTGATATATACTATTTTCGATTCTCAATGGGTAAGTCCTATACATGTGGTTCCTAAAAAGAGTGGAATAACAGTTGTCGAAAATAATAAGGGAGAATTTGTCCCCACTAGAGTTTCTAATGGATGGAAAGTTTGTATTGAGTATTGGAAGCTTAATCAAGCTACCAGAAAAGACCATTTCCCTCTATAGATGTTAGAAAAACTTCCTGGACAATCTTTCTTCTGTTTTCTAGATGGTTATTCAGGTTACACACAAGTACCCATTGCCCCTGAAGATCAAGATAAAACCACTTTTACATGTCCTTTTGGCACATTTGCTTTTAGAAGAATGCCTTTTGGTTTATGTAATGCTCTAGGAACTTTTCAGAGATGTATGATGATCATATTTTCTGATTTGATTGAACAAGATATGGAAGTGTTTATGGATGACTTTACTGTTTTTGGTGATTCATTTGATAGATGTCTTCATGCTTTAACTCGTATTCTGAAGAGATGTGTTGAAACTAACCTTGTTTTGAATTTTGAAAAGTGTCATTTCATGGTACAACAAGGTGTGGTTCTTGGTCATATTGTAAGCGCTAAAGGTTTAGAGGTAGATAAACCTAAAATTCAGGTAATAAGTTCTTTGCCTTATCCTAAATTTGTTCATGAAGTTAGATCATTTTTAGGACATGCTGGTTTTTATAGGCGCTTTATAATGAATTTTTCAAAAATTGCTTCACCTTTATGTGCTTTGCTTGCTAAAGATGCTGTTTTTGACTTTAATGATGAATGTAAGAAAGCTTTTGATGATTTAAAAGCCAAGATGACAAGTGCTCCTGTAATTAGACCTCCTGATTGGTCGTTACCTTTTGAAATAATGTGCGATGCTAGTGATAAAACCATAGGAGTTGTGTTAGGTCAAAAGAAGGGTAAAGAGTTATGTGATACATTATTCTTTTAAATCACTTGATCCAGCCCAATGCAATTACACTGTGACTGAAAAAGAAATGTATGTTGTGATATTTGCTTTGGAAAAGTTTAGATCTTATTTGCTTGGTACTCATGTGATTGTTTATTTTGATCATGCGACTCTTAAATACTTGATAAATAAGAGTCACTCAAAACCTAAGTTGCTTAGGTGGATGCTTCAGTTACAAGATTTTGATTTAGAAATTAGGGATAAAAAAGGTGTTGAAAATCAAGTTACTGACCATTTGAGTAGGATTGTCCCTAGAGAAGATTGGCCTATGATAAGTGATTTTTTCCCCGATGAACAATTGCTTTCTTTATATCATGTTGAAACTCCTTGGTATGCCGATATGGTTAATTACTTAGTAACTAGGACGTTTCCCCTTTTTCTAACTAAGGATAAAAAGGATAAAATCAAATCTGACTCTAAATATTATCTTTGGGATGATCCATATTTGTGGAAGTTTTGTTTTTATCAAATGATAAGGAGATGTGTAGAGGACTCTGAATTTTCTTCGGTGTTGAATTTTTTTCATTCTCTGGAAGTTGGTGGCCACTTTGGACCTCAACGAACTGCCCTTAAAGTATTGCAATGCGGTTTATATTGGCCTATAGTATTCAAAGATGCTTACCTGTTTTGTGCATCGTGCGAGCAATGTCAGAAATCAGGTAATATTTCTAAAAGAAATGAAATGCCTCAACATGGAATCATAGTTTGTGGAATATTTGATGTATAGAGAATCGATTTTATGGGGCCTTTTCCTTCCTCTTTTGGTAATCTTTACATTGTGCTAGCTGTAGAATACGTTTCTAAATGGGTGGAAGCTAAAGCCACCGTAACTGATGATGCAAAAGCTGTTGTAAAATTTGTCAAAAGTCATATTTACAATGGTTTTCCAAAAGCCATAAAAAGTGATAGGGGAACCCATTTTTGCAACCAAACATTTGGCCCTCTTCTTGCAAAGTATCATGTAACACATAGAGTAGCCACTGCCTACCATCCCTAAACTAATGGGCTAGCTGAAGTTTCAAATAGGGAAATCAAATCCATCCTAGAAAAAATGGTGAATCCTAATAGGAAAGATTGGAGCCTTAGGTTAGATGATGCACTATGGGCTTATAGGACAGCTTACAAAACACCTATAGGAATGTTTCCATATCGCCTTGTCTTTGGTAAAGGATGTCACTTACCAGTAGAGCTAGAACATAAGTCTTATTGGGCTGTGAAACAGTGTAATATGGATTATGAACTTGCAAGGAAGCAAAGAAAACTTAGTCTACAAGAGTTAGAGGAAATCAGAATAAAGGCTTATGAAAATGCTCAGATTTATAAGAACAAAACTAAGGCTTTTTATGACAAAAGAATTGTTAAGACTAATTTCTCTGTGAGACAGAAAGTTCTTTTGTATAATGCTCGCCTTAAGCTATTTCCTGGAAAGCTTCGGTCTAGATGGCTGGGACCTGTTGTTATTACTAACATTTTTCCACATGGTGCAGTTGAAATAAAAAGTTTGGAAACTGATAAAGAGTTCAAAGTAAATGGTCACAGGTTAAAACCATACTATGAGTATAGATCTGCAGGGATGATTGAAGAAATCGAGCTTCAAATGGAATGATGACTGAAGTAGGTCGAGCTAACGACTCTAAACAGAAGCGCTACTCGGGAGGCAACCCATGGATGAATTTTGTTTTTTACTTTACTGGTTTTTTTTTTATTTTTTTATTTATTCATTTATTCTATTTTTCATAGTATAATGATAATTTTCTTTATTTGAGGCTTAGTTTTTTTTTATGTTGATCACAGGCTGTTATTTTCATTTACTAGGCATATTACCTCTACCCATTCTGGCAGCACACAAAATTCTTCTGTTTTCAAGACTCAAGACCCAGAGAAGGAACACGTTTGCTACTGACTGTGATTGTAAAAAAAATTCCCACAGCTTCACCAATAATCTAATATATATAAATAAAGTAGGCATTTTTAGAGAGCATTCGGCGCGCCACATAAGCAAAGGTATATTTTCGACCAATTAAAAATTAGATTTCTATTTTATTTTGGAATTATAAAAATTCGTTTGACACCTAAATAAAAGTGACGAATGAGACTTAAAAATTTTTGCCACGTAAGTAAAAACAACGAATATTGATTTATTAGGATTTAATTTATTTAAAAAATCAAAAATTATCTTTTATTATAACATAAATTTTGATAGTGTTTATGATAAGAAATAAAAATTAATTCCTTAATTATAATTAAATTAAAATTTGTGATATCTACCATTATAAATTGACACATCATACGACACCAACAAAATTTCGTATCAATACAAAACCAAACCAAGCAAATTTTGTATCATATTTACATTTTTTTTTTTTGAAAGATATCATATTATTGTCATATAACTAACAACAACGAATAAAATACAAAACAACAATAAATTAAGTCGCATTATAAATTACATTAAAAAAACAATTTACTTTTGTAATTGGCAATATCATTTTAATTAAATTATTATTTATTTATTTTTTTGTCTGAAATTATTAAATTGTAAAATAAATCAAATAATTATTAAAAAAACAACGAATAGTGATTTATTACGATTTAATTTATTTAAAAAACTAAAAATTATCTTTTTGAGAAAATCATCTTTAGATATAGGATTTATATATCTATCATTATAAGATAAATTTTGATAATATTTATAATAAGAAATAAAAAATCATTTATTATTATAATTAAATTACCATTATAAATTGATGCATCATACGACACCAATAAAATTTCGTATTAATTTAAAACCAAATCAAGCGAATTTTGTGTCATTTTATTAGGTCATCAATGGCTGGATAATTCTTAGCTTAATTTTTCAAATCCATGTTTAAGTGTATATTTGTGATTATTGCTTACATTGTGTTTATTTGGGATACTTAATGATTATATGTTTATGTTTTGTTTATTGAATTTTGTTTTTACATGCAGATCTAATTTAATCATAGAATTAAATTCGAGCAAAATAATTGGAAATAAAATCAAAGTACGAGTTTCTCGCCTGATGATCCTATTAGATGAGGAGGTATTATATCTTTATAAATCGTTTATATTTATTAAATTTTTCAATAAACATTTTAGTTTTTACTAATTAATTTTATATTAAATATATTGATTTATTTTATAAGACTATAAAGATTAATTTTGTATAATTTTTTTTTTCTAACATGTTCTATTTATCCAATTTTAAGTGCCCTATTTATTTATGTTTAAGTGCCCTTTATCACAAGAAATATACAAAATGATATATAGATTTGAGAGTTTAATTTCAAGTGTAAAAAACAACGAATAATAATTTAGAATTTAAATTATTTTTTATAAAAAAACAAATTATTTTTTCACATTAAAGATTCTATACTACTATGTAATCAATGAAATATCATATTTATAATTTTTTTTTGGAAAGATATCATATTATTTTTATATAACTAAAAACAACGAATAAAATACAAAACAACAATAAATATATTACTATAAAAAATTACATTAAAAGAATTATACTTTTTTAATAGGCAGTAACATATAAATTAAATTATTGTGTTTTTTTTTTGAAATTATTAAATAGTAAAATAAATTAAATAATTAAAAAAAAAACCTTAGAGTATATAGGAAAATATCTGATCTTGAGATTTATGTATGAAAAATCGTGCATCGCACGGGCTTTCATCTAGTAAAAAAATAATTGACACAATTAAACTTGGCATACATGTCAATACACTAATTTGATCATAGATATAAATGATTAATATTAATTAAAAAAAAAATAGTAGTGCTATATAAATTGTGAAAAATATCAAACGTGTTAATTATTTAGGAACGGATAGGATAACTAAATCCAACTGTAAAAACCTAATTAACTGATACCTAATTTATGGGTAATAAAATTAAACATCCACTTTCTTTTGACGATGAATGACGCTTGCACGAGTTATCTGACTCACTCCAATTTCATCTTACCTTTTTTTGACGGAATAAAGTAGTAAATCTAAGTTTCTATATAAATTGTATAAATATAAAATTGCACCACCTAAACTTAATGTTCTTCGATGAATATTAACAAGATTTTCTATTAGACTTTTCTTTTCTTTTTAATCATAATTACGTTCGATTTCAAGGGGTTTTTTTTTCACAATTATGATTGATTTTCAATCCACCTTTCCCTCGCCATTAAAATTACTCCAAAAAAAAAAAGGTACCTGAGAATTGAACGCAGTGTTATTAGCAGCAGGGGAATAAACATGATTAAACGGATGAATCGAAACATCGCCATTGATGTTTTGGTTGTATGTTTGATTAGAGAAGCCGAAATCATTAGGAAGATAATGATGATTACCATCACTCTTGCTTATTTTCATTCCTTTTTTTTTTCTTTGAAGGTTTCGACCTTGAACAGTTCTTTTATTTTATTAAAAGTGAAAAGTGAAAGTTTTGATCAAAAGAACTTAATACTCTATATAAGACTCTCCTAGCTGCAAGGAGAGTCTTATTAGGGTAAAAGTTGGACTTTTAACTTGTATTGACTTCCACTTTTCTATCTTTTTAAAAGACCCTTTAATTTGTCTCAAACATAAAGATTCTCATTTGATTATGTACATTTGGTTAATGTACATCTTTTGACTTTTGAATATATATATATATTTTTTATCTTTCCTTAAAAACTAAAATGACCCCCAAAATCTTTACTGAGTAATTTTCGTGGCAAGAAAATAGTTGCATGCAAAGTGAAATATTTTTGGACATGTAAAATGAGACACTTATATTATTTTATTTTTGCTAATTTCGAGCTCAATTTGGACCCTTAAGAGCTAAAATGACTCCCTAAAACCTTAACGGAATATTTTTCGGCACGCAAATCAAGAAAAAATACTTTAATGTGGCCACTAACGAACCCTAACAAAAAATGTAAGTGGTAGAAAAATCTATTTTTTTGTTCTTGGTGGTAGTAAAATAAAAAAAAAAAATTAGATGGGTAGCAAAAATCAAAATATAGTGCTTTTTAGTAGTAGTAATAGTCAAAATTATCAAATATTTAATATACATCTGACTTATTTAAAAGTTTGTGTTTTATTAATTATTAACATATTATAACTTTGATTTTTATAAAAGCAATTGTTAGGATGATGACCAAATTAAACAAGACCTATATATATGTAATTGTGTGTGTTTTTTTAGAAGGTTTTACGTAAGACCGGACTCATCGCGAGTCCAATATGTCTGATAATAATATTCTAATATCTAACATTAATAATCTAATATTCTAATATATGACAATAATATTCTAATATCAGACAATAATATTCTAATATGTGACAATAATATTATAATATACGACAATAATATTCTAATATCTAACATTTGTAATCTTCATTTATATTTTTAGGGGCTTAATTATTCATTTTCATATCTCTCTTCCTCTCTCCTTTGATTACTTCTTCTCCATTCATCTCTCCTTCACCAGTGACCCTCTTCTTTCATGGTACAATACTTTCTCTCTTCTCAACCCTCAGATTTCACATCATCTCTAACTAGCACTAACAATTCATCCCTGTCCGACACCGTACCGGCTTTCTCCTCCAAACTCACACTCAAAGCTCTCCTCGACTTAATCAATGCAGCACGAGGAATCAAAATATTCCTCAATGCCACAACAGTAGCAATAAACGCCGCCTCAGGCTTCCTACTAACTCCGCCTCCGAAAATCGACAAATTCCGCACATTCTGCGGCGGAATCGGTGGTCTTCTACTAGAACTTCTAGCAAATTCAATTCTGCTCGGCAGTGATGGAGGCGGCATCGGCTTTGGCTTTGATGGTCTCGAGGTTCGCTTAGAGGTCGCGAATGTAAGAATCTGCCTTCTTTGTCACCTCAAAAGTGTTGCCAGAGGCTTTGAATCACTCGAATTCATCTTCAAAGAGGAATGACGACATGATTAGGGAGTGTTGTGCAAAATTGGGATAAGTGTATTTGTGTAGGCGGACTCACGATGAGTCCGTTCTATACAAATTTATTTGGTTTTTTTTATTTTATTATTTATTTATTATTATTTAATATAGATAAATAATACTCCGTTTTGAATAAAAGCATCATCCAATGATACACTTCCTAATAGAGATTTAGAGTACAGTATAACCAAAATAAGGTTAGGCACTCCAAAAAGATCCTAGAAATGGGTTCAAGCTTGACAGACCAAATCGGGAAAACTCTTTCTTTTCCTTTTTCTTTTTACTTACATATTTTGATACAAAATATAAAATATTATATATTTTGTATATGATGTATATACAACCCATTTCATTAATTCATTGAAATCCAACACTTCAGTGGATTTCATTTCATTTATCATTTAGTTCAGTTTTAATTTCAGTTTTTTTTTTTGTAAAATCGAATATATATATATATAAATAGAAATAAAGAAAGGAGTCTTTATGTCGCGTTACCGAGGGCCTCCAACATAACATATACGTAGTATTGCCTTATATATAGGATACTTGGTAATACTTGTATTTTGAACTCTAAGAATATTTTCCTAGTGGTCCATCAAGCCTGCCACTTATTTAATATAATTTTTCTGTTAAGTTATTAATTCTAGTATTTCTTTTGTCACTCAATAAAATATTCATTTGTCTTTTACACGCATATTGAAGATGACAATAATTAAAATTAGCTAGTGTAGTTTCATTATATTGATTGAAGGTTGATATAAAAAACAAAATACCAAGATTTGATTGATTTATTAAAAATGTTGCAGGGTAAAAGAATGAACTAGTAGAGTACTAAGCTAGAGTTTGGTTGATTAAAAATTGCATAACGACATTGTTTAAAGCACATGATGGCGAATATCATTTTGGAATTCTTTATATTGTACGTTAACTGGTTAAGGGATATTAATAATACCAACAAGGCAACTACAAAAATATCTCAACTACAAACAAAAATACAATTTCCCAACATAGAACTGTAGCTTATTTAAATTTGTTACAAGTTATTTTTTTATTAATTTTTTTTTAATTTTTTTTATTTAATTAAATTTTATTAGTGGTATTTTATAAATTCAAATGGTAAAATCAAGTCATTATATAAGTCATATGTTATATTAGGTCAACAAAATTTCGTATTAATACAAAATCAAACCAAGCAAATTTTGTGTCATTAATTTTGTGTCAGTTATATTAGGTAATCAATGGCTGGGTTATTGTTAGCCTAATTTTGAAAACCCATTTTAAATGTATATTTGTGATTATTGTTACTTAAATTGTGTTTATTGGTATACTTAATGATTATATGTTTATATTTTGTTTACTGAATTTTGTTTTTACATGCAAATCTAATTTAATCAGAGAATTATATTCGAGCAAAAATCTGTAGAACATCAAAGTACGAGTTTCTCGCCTAATGATCCTATAGGATGAGGAGGTATTATATCTTTATAAATCGTTTACATTTATTAAACCTTTTAATGAACCTTTTAATTTTTATCAATTAAATTTATGATTAAAACAAATTTTTTGTGATTTAGGTAGCTTTATAAAATGAAGATCCAAGATGATGAAGCGGCGTAGAAGCACAATAGATGAATGTAGACCTGACCAATGCAACAATGAGACAGAAAGCATCTCACATGTTCAAACAACAGAACGTCTCAAGAAACCAGTTAAGTTTCTCCTCCTCTCCTATTTATTTATTAATTCTTCTTCTTCTTCTTCTTCTTCTTTTCTTTTATCGAGGACGATTGAAAAGTTTAAGTGGGGGGGGGGACAACTGTTGTTTTCTATATTTTGGATGTTGGGATGTTAGGCTGGGTTACAAGTTTGAAAATAGCAACAAAATGTTGTTTGATTATGCCCATTTTTAGGGGAGATGCTGTCAATTTTTTAGATATTGAAAATTTTGAACTAATAGCAGTAAAGTAAAAAAAAAAAAATGTTTGTTTCCTCCAAACTTCTTGATAACTTACACTCTGGGCTTGTGTCGTTTCTCCCTTAAATTGCAACTAATCCATGTTTTGAAAATAATTTAGGCAATTAAAACATTTTATACGCCACATCAACCAAAAAGCCTATCCCTGTTATTTTCCATGAATAAATCACAAATGTACCTCTAATTACAAGTCAAATAATTAACCTTCTGAAATTAGTAGAGCATATTAAAGTGTAATGTAAAAATGGTTGATATTCAGTGGTGATATAGTACTATAAAGTGAAAGTTTCAATATAAGGCTCTGCGTATCAATGACTGGGATATGTGTCAACTAATTCACATATTAGTATTTAAAAAAAAAAAAAAAAATTCAAACCCAGTTATGTACGTGTGATGTTTCTATCTCTTGCTTGAGTACTTCGAGTAAGTAGATCCTTAGGGGAATCTTAAAGCTTAGTGCCTTGGACCAACTGGACCGGGAGCCACTGGTCGAACACTCGCTACATGAACTATTCAACAGAGATTGAACATTAAGAGTCATGAAACTAAAAATCAAAAAATTAAAAAAAAAAAAGAAGAAAAATGAAAAAGAGAAAAAAAAAGAAGGGGGCAGTGTACATAAAAGTTCAGTGTGCACTCAAAAAATATTTGTTATGAGGAATATTTGATCTTATTTGGTAGGAATCATACTATGCTCTACTAATTTTATAGAATATTACCACCACAATCCCATAATTATTGTCATATCCTTCATTTACCTAAACCCCCATGATATCCTTGAAAAGTCCTAACGATTTGAGACATGCAAATTGGTTTAAAGAGGTAAGAAATGATAAAAGTCAATCAACCAAGTTGTTAAGTTATATTGGAGAAACTTTTATAAACATGTGTTTTAAAATTGTTTACTGCTATTTAGTTGAAAATTTGTAAATAACAGACTTTGTGGGTATGTCTTCTGCAAACCCTCACAAGACCGTACTCGTCCTCTAGGGGGAACTTAGGGGTTTAAATGGCTTGTTGCACGTGCTAAGTGTAACCGTGATTCCTACGACGGTGAGTTAGGTTTATTGCTTTTATAGGTTAGTTTTATTTAGTTTGTTCGAGGGCGACCAAACACTAAGTGTGGGGGATTTTGATAAGTGCATAATATACCATATTTTTAGCCCTAATATTAGTCTTATAATTGTCTTTTAGTTATTATATTTGAAATTTAACTAACTTTTATTATTTTAGTCGTATATTTATCTTCTATTAATTTTATTATTAAGTTGGTATAAATATTATTTAATATGTTTGTTTTGTTGATTAGGATTTGTGTGGAGAAGCAAAAGAAGACAACAAACAAAAGGGCAATTAAAGAAAGCAGCAAGTAAACAAAAGAAAAAAAATAAAAAGAAAGAAAGAAAGATCACGTGAAAGGGGTACATAAGCAAGCAAGCAACATCAAACAAGTCAGGAAATGGAAAGTTAAAAAGATAGAAATCTATCTTGCTTCCGTGATAACCGAGGCCTCCAAAGTAAATCCATGTTTATCTTCAACAACCTCTCTGAAATTCAAGTAGAAACAAGAAGATGAAGATCTATCCCAATTCAAGATTGTATCTTTTCATACCCGGAAAACATAGGTTATTTTTTTAGGCTTATAAAAAAAGCCCCAATTAGCTCTTCCGAAACACACAAGTTTTACTACGAAGCTTTCATCGGGAATTTGTGAGGCTTGGTGAAGTACGGTTGATCCAAATTTGATAGACTGAGCGATACCGGAAGGTGAAGGGACAACTTGACGGCAACAATCTAGCGGCGACCGTTTGATCGTGGCTTAGTTATGAGTTCCCTTCACTCACTTTTAAACTCTTTCAATTTTGCGATTAATCTTATTGGTTAAACTGAGTACGATGTAATTTGTCTTCAAATTTATGATTTTTTTTTTCTGTTTCACTGTTTATAGGTTGAGTTAAACGAGTATCAATGCTTTGGTTTGTGCGTTTAATTAATTCACATGATCATTTGTTCTTGCATGTATGTTTAATTAATCTATACTTGTGGTAGTGCACGATTGCTTGTATGGAGTAATTAGACTATACTAAATTATTACTTGACGCGACGTTAATTTATAATTTAGAGGAAATAACTTAGTGATACTAGTTTGAGCGGGTCAAGTTTAGTATTGTTGAGTTTGTGAATTAGTCTAATAAAACCAGTTTATTGGGGTAGAAAGTATATTAGCAAGATTCTAATTTTAGTGAGAAATATATGTCAAATAGACCGCGCCGGTAATTTGTCTACCTAAATACTAAAACTGAGTATTGAAGGAAATTAAAAGGAGTGAAGTTTGGAGCTAATTTATATCGTTTTATCCTATGATCAAATTAATATACCAATGGTGGTTTGCTTGTTGTTTATTGTAAATAGTAGATTTATATTTAGTCTTGGTAGTTTAGTTATTAGATCACGATTTAAAACCCCCCAATCTCATGTACATGGTGTGAATAATACTCTACTATGTATATGGTTTATTTTTTCGAGTTAGACTTTAAGTTTTAAGAGTTGATTAATCTCCTCGTCAGATCGACCCTTATTTACCCTTTTTACTAGTTGTTAATATTTTTGAAGGTTAAGTTAGGAAAATAAATATTTAATTTTATACGGTAAACGACACATATCAAGGGCCTAGTTTGTCGCCTTGTAAATGTTTTACATAGGCTTCACAACCCCAAATCTTGAGAAAAGATAACTTTGGAACCTTTCCATTCCACATCTCATATGGTGTCTTTTCAACTGGTTTGGACGGGCTTCTGCTTAGTACTTTTGCAGCTGTTTCTAATGCGAATCCCCAGAATGATATGTGAAGATCAGTAAAGTTCATCATGGATCGAACCATGTCTAACAAGGTTCGATTCCTCCTTTCTAACACACCATTTAACTGTGGTGTTCCTGGAGGAGTTAATTGTGAAATTATTCCACAATCCCTCAAATGATCATCAAAATCTTGAGTCAAATATTCATCACCATGATCAAATCGTAGTGCTTTAATTGTCTTCCCAAGTTAATTTTGTACTTCATTATGGAATTCTTTGAACTTTTCAAAGGCTTACGACTTGTGCTTCATTAAGTAGATATAACCAAAACTACTTAAATCATCAGTAAAAGTAATGAAGTAGCTAAACTCACCTCTAGCTTTTGAACTCATTGGTCCACACACATCTGTATGTATGAGTCCTAAAAGGTCACTAGCTCTTTCACCTATTCCTGTAAAAGGTGACTTGGACATTTTACCTAACAAGCATGACTCACAATTTTCAAATGATTCATAATCAAATGATGAAAGGAGTCCATCCTTTTGTAATTTCTAGATGCGCAATTGGTTAATATGACCTAACCTACAATGCCATAGGTAAGTTGGGTTTGAACCATCTGTTCGTTGTTTTTTGGGATCAATGTTATAGACATGGGTTGTATAATCTAATGTATATAAACCATTAACCAATTTTAAACTAGCATATAACATATTATTCCTTGAAATAAAACAACATTTGTTTTTAATTTCAAAAGAAAAACCTTTAGTATCTAAAACCTCAGTATCTAAAACAGGAACTGAAACAATGTTTTTAGTAATCGCAGGAACATAATAACAGTTATTAAGAACTATAACGAGTCCAGATGGGAGCTTGAGTTCATAGCTTCCAATAGCAAGTGCAGCAAAATTTGCTCCATTTCCTACTCGAAGCATCATCTCTCCCTTTGCTAGCCTTTTACTCACTCTTAAACCCTGCATGTCATTAACAATGTGAGCACCACAACTGGTCTCGAATACCCATGTGGAAGAGGAAGTAAGGTTAATTTCTACAACATAAACATTAGGTAACTCCTTACCTTCCGTTTTCAACGGCATGTTGTGGGGACATCCTGGTAAGTGGTAAGACCACCTATCGCAATAGAAGCACTGACTTCCTTCTTTCTTCAATTACTCCTCTGTGTGGTTGATCAATAAATCGATAAGCGTGACTGTAGAGCCTTCATCATCATGAATTAGCTAGACGAGATCAAATCCAACATGGAGTGAAAACATAATAGTGTCATGAGCAAAGTCATCATAAAAGGTAGCTAGGATATCCATCCAATTTAGTAACTCAATCAGTTCCTTGACATAGGTCCTAACTGACTGACCAGGTATGAGTTTCTTAGCCATTATCATACAATGAATATTGTAAGTCTCAAACCTTACACTGTCAATCTAGGAGTAATATACCGTGGGAATCGAATCAACAATTTCCTTGACATTCTTGTCAATGATGCCTCCACTTCCTAATGCCCCTATGCCACCTCTATAGATAGCATGTAGGCATTCTCGCAGTAAGGTTGGCTCATAATCCTTAAACCTTCTCTTCCAAAAAATTGGAAAAGAGGCTAACATGAGATTCCTGACTTTCTCTCCATTTGAAACATCTTTCGCATGCCTTTCAGGAGTTAACCCCACTATGAATCTGCTTAGAATGGGAATGTACAATTGAGCTTCGAGCTTGTGGCTGTTAAGAACATTTCTTAGCTCATTTTCCCAATCCTTGAAATTTTTGAGATTTAGCCTTGTTTCAATTTGGTTGGCAAGTTAGTGTTGTCGTTAAAGCTATTCATCTACAAACAAAAATAAGGCAAAGTTCAATAATTATGTTTAATAAAATTTAAAGCACCATAAGCGAATTAAATATGTTACTTTAAAACACTTTATTCAATATTAAATGATCCCAATTGAATTAAGTGATTCCAAGATCCTTTATTTGTGTAATAATTGACCGGACTGAGGCCCTACCATCAAGCATTACATTTTCAAGGTAAGTAAACTCTTTACTAATTACAACTCTTGTAACTCTTGGTTGAATAATTACCCATCACATGTTTAATTATTACCCTTTGCTTCAAGGTTCTAAACGCTTTAGGTAACCTTGTTGAGCACAACCAATTAAATGTGTAAAACGTGATTTACCTCAAATTACCTAAGATAACAAGTGACACCCTGCGGAGGCAGACCTAAATTACCTAAGAAAACTAATAAAACAAAATGCTCCTACTTGAACCTTCATGGATCTCATCCACCTTGCTTCTTTGGGCCTTTACTCCATTGGCTTCTTGGATTAACTGCAACCTATAATACTATTCTATTCTATCTACTACTTAAATAAAATAAAATAAATTACAAAAATACTTACGGTACACAGACCGTATTTAGATTACAAAAATATGTCACGATGCGCAGATCGTATTTAGAATCTATGGGCCATACTAGTCTATATACAACAAAAAATAATATCATATATTATAAAAATTGCCATATAATAAATTACTCAACATGCTTTCCTAAATTACAATATTAAATGTTCATATTAAGGAAACGTGGTACCTAAATATCTCATATTTTAAAATTGTAATTAGATAATATCGTATATCATTCATGACCAATTATAAAATATCATTATATTTTAATTTAGGTATGAGATAGAATCAAATCTTATTTTAATCAGGAAAGATAAATCATATTTATTCTCCATGATTATCCTAACTAATTTAGGAGATTCTATTCTAATTACTCAGCCAATCACATAATTTTAAATCAATTATATCCTAAAATAATTATGGGATAATCTCATTATTTAATCAATTATTATCCACATAGAATCTTTTGCTCAAAATATCTAACATATTTATCAAAATTAACAACTTTAATTTTGACAATTATTTTCAAAATTAAAATTTGATTTTAAAATCTTAATTTTTTTAAAAAAATAATTTTTTTTATTGAAATCTGCGCCAGCTCCTGTAGTGTGGCCAACCGAAGCCAGCCACGGTGGCCGTACACCGTCAGGTGTATGCTGTAAGCAGCGACGCGCTACAGCAGCAGTGCCACGCAACTGTTGCACGGTGCTGATGTTGTTGCCTTTGCTGACCGGACCTGCTTCCCGCCCCCGACCCTCCCTCTTGCACCACCACCTGCGCAGCCAGCGTGGCTGCACCACCTAGCCGCGGCTGCCGCCCAAAATAGCCCCAAAAACATTTTTTTTTATTTTGAGATTTAATTTAATTATACAACACTTGTTATAATTAAATTAAATTGGTCCAATTAATTTTAAAAGTAAATCACATTCAATCTCAAAATAAGGGTTCTTCATGAAATTAATTCCCAATTCAATTTAACACTTAAATTAAATAATTGATCATGCAAAATTCATAGTTTATACATGAAATTCGAAATAATCAAAAACCACAGCACAAAATTAAAATTTTAGGGTTAGGGTTTCAAAATTTTCGAATAATGGTTTGGGGGGTCGAATTTTTCGAATAAAAGGGGAAAAAATTCGGTCCAATTCTAGGCTAAATTCTAGCCAAATAAATCAACTTTAATTATTCCATATGTTAAATCACATTTAAAATAATAATTGACCCATAAATAAATTATTCTCCCACTTAATTGAATTAAAATTTGTGGGCATCAAAGAATTATAATCAATATGTGTACATGCATTAGGCTAACTGATACCACTGTAGGACTTTAGATACTATAAGCGGAATTGCATAAATCATATTCATAAGCATCTAATAACCAAGATCTTTGCATAACACATAAAGAACATATAATTATACCTTTGAAGCGTGATTCCACGAGTGATCGAGCAAGAACAATAAGGATAACTAGAACCCCAAACGTGATTCCTCTACTTGGTCCACGGGCAAGAATTGAACCTCCACTAATGCTAGTTAGTTGTGATTGAAGCCTTTCAATCAACCTTCTACGGAGAGGAGAGGAACGAACAAGCCACGAACCACCACACCACCATCGAGCACCACCTTGGCCAGCGTCCGTACCATACGGCGAGGAGGAGGAGAGAGAGAGGGGCGTGCGTGAGAGAGAGAGATTAGGGTTAGGGACTTTGGTTGTTGCTTCACAATTCACTGTATGGGTAAATTATGACTTGTCATCAAAACCTTGGCAAGGACTCTATTTATATATCTCATACATATCTAGAGTCCATGTGAAGCCCAAACTCCTTATCCAATCCAATCTACTCTAGCCTACTACTCACATGGCTTGTCATTACCTGATGAGGCCTATTAATGGGCTTCATACTTGTTTAATTCAATACCCTTGTAGGTGACCTCATAGGATCCATTCTATTGGGCTTTGGACTATTTGACTAGCCCAAAAATCATTTATCATATCTAGCAACAGACAATGACGACCCAAAAGAATGAGCTAATTATCTCCATAATAGCGATCCTTGATATATCTAGTAATTGCACTTCACGAAGACATATATCCTTCATTACATTGAGGCTCTCTCTCTACATTTTTCCCTTCATCAATGACAAAACAAGAGCATGTATAGTGCAAGAGTTCAAGGTTAATCAACGGCTAAGATTACATCCCGAGCAAATTAAAAGAAATCGCAGTACTGGAACAAGGGCAGCTGGTTCGACCGAACCTACCCTGAGTTTGGTTGAACCTAGGTTTGATCGAACCAGGGGTGGTTCGGTTAAACCTCCAAGAGGTTCGGTCGAACTCTCGAGTCAGTAGCAAACTCGATTTCCTTCAAATGGTTCGACCGATTTTTTCAAAAGTTCGGTTGAACTTCCGCACTACGTGGAAAACTCTTCTTATAACGGTCATAACTCCCTCGATTCTTGACCAAATTGAGTTTATGACCAGTAGCTGGAAAGCTCTTGAGAAGAGGTATCACCTCTAACTTGAATCATCTCAATATCATTTCTAAATCTTGAGATATGCTCATTTGAAGTCAGCCTTGCCTTTTATTGTTGCTTTGCACCAAGTAAACAATCTATAGCTTAACTCCAAAGCTATGCACCCCCTTAGACTTCTTGAACTGTTCTCCACACTTTTCAAACCTAAAAATCTCCTACCTGGAGATCGATTCAAACACACTACACATATACTCTCATGGCTTCTCTATTGTGCTCCAACATCTCTACATAAGCCTCACAATCTCCTTACCCGGAAATCGGCTTATCATCACAAGATTACACTAACACAATAAGCCAACCATTGTCATCAACATCTTTGCTAATCACCATAGAAAAGATTCGTTTTCTCTACACTAAGATAACAAACTCACTTCCTCTTAACCAAGGAAGTGACATTGAGGTCTTCACCAACCTTGACAACAAACTCATCACATAATCGAGGGACTTTGCCATGTTCTCTAAGCATTATCACCATGCTCTAAATCGAATACACCCTCCAAAGCAACACACAAGCCAAAGGAATTCATCTTTGCTCTCGGAACAACTCACCATGCTCCCACTCGAACAAAACATCCTTTGCTCCACTTGCTTTCCCACACACAATTTCCATGTGTGCAATACGAGTCCTCTTCACCAAGGAACACTATCGAAGTCTACACCAACTTTGGCACAGTCATTTCCTTTTCACCAAGGAAACACCATCTCCTCTTCACCAAGGAGACTAAACATCAAGATCAACACCAATCTTGATAAGCCACTTTCTCTCAACCAAGAAAGCACCATTTCCTCTACACTAAGGAAGCAAACCGGAGTCTACACCAACTCCAACACACCACCTTCTACACACTAAGAAGGCAATGCAAACATCGAGATCTCAACCAACCTCAACAACACACCCATTTCCTCTACACCAAGGAAATGACACCTTCTCTCAACCAAGGAAGCAAACATCAAAGTCTACACCAACTATGATAAACATCACATTATTCAAGGGAATTTCATAGTTCTCCGAGCACTCCAACTGCACTCTACACGAACTCACCCTCCGTGACAAACACAAGTCTTTGGGCATTTTCCTTTCGTTGATGGAACACTCCTACCATGCTCCCACCTCAACAAGCACCCATACTTTCCTTTCACACACATAAAAACATGTGTGCATTCATCACTCACAACCACCACGTGAGCCTTCCATCATACACCTTTACTTGATATGTCTTTTCCGATCTTCATCTATCATTAAAACACCGAACGCCACGGCTTCTCTCCAATGACAATCCAACAAACAATGCCTACCACAAAGATTCACATCGTCTCACAAAACCCATGTGAGACCCCTTCGAATTCACTTGATATGCTTTTCTTGGCCATCTTCCACCATTGAAACCGAAACCACGGCTCTTCCTCAATGGCAATCCGACCAAGTCATGCCTCCGCAAAGAACCACACCCCTCATGACTACTCATGTGTTTTCCAAGGTTACAAGGCACCACTCCATTTTCCCATGAACTTCAACCCGAGTTCCTTCAATAATTTCTCCATGGCCCTCCCTCACACACAAACATGTAGCCATCAATGACGTTGAGTTTACTACCGGATATCAAGATGGGGAAATCCTTGATATCCTTCACTCCAACATCAACACTCCATAGATTTCAATCCTCCTACTCCGTCTTCCACGCATTGTTAATCAAATACAAAATTCAAGACTTTTCAATTTCAATAACAACCAATTGAAATCCATACCAAAGACTCAAATTTTGAACACCCACAACACCAAAATTGAAATTTAACACCAAAATTTCAATTTTTGGACTTTCCAATAACAAACAACAAGCATACCACACAAACTAACCCTAAAAACCCACCAAAACAACCTTGGCTTTGATACCAATTGAAAAGATTAACGAATGTGCTAGCTAGTTTACGATTAACGACAATTAATAACAACGAAGACCGAAAAAACAAGCAACAAACAAGACAAGGAGAATTTACTATGGAAAACCCGAGAACCGGGAGAAAAACCCACCAATCCACTATGGAGTAACAATTTAATGAAGAACAATGTAGATTACAAGCTTTCAATTCACCATGAAAGCTCCCACCCCAAACTCACCCTCTCAAACACTCAAACCCTAAGTGTTTGGGTTTACATTTAGGCTCTCTCTCTACATCTTTCCCTTCATCCTATTACTCTCCTAACAATGACAAAACAAGAGCATATATAGTGCAAGAGTACAAGGTTAATAAACGGCTAAGATTACATCCCGAGCGAATTAAAAGAAATCGCAGCACTGGAAAGCTAGTTCAACCGAACCTACCCTGAGTTCGGTTGAACTAGGGGTGGTTCGGTCGAACCTCAAAGAGGTTCGGTCAAACTCTCGAGTCAGTAGCAAAACTCGATTTCCTTCAAAAGTTCGGTTGAACTTCCGCGCTGCACGGACAACTCTTCTTATAATGGTCATAACTCCCTCGATTCTTGACCAAATTGAGCTTGTGACTAGTAGTTGGAAAGATCTTGAGACGAGCTATCACCTCTAACTTGAATAATCTCAATATCATTTCTAGATCTTGAGATATGCTCATTTGAAATTAGCCTTACCTTTCATTGTTGCTTTGCACCGAGCAAACAATACATGGCTTAACTCCAAAGCTATGCACCCCCTTAGACTTCTTGAACCTTCTCCACACTTTTCAAACCCAACAATTATTAGGCTTGTTAGTACGATCTTTGCTTGGTGTAGCACTCAAAAGGTTCCCAAGGATCACGTGCACAGACCACATCTCCTAGCAGCTCCGGCAACGACTAATTTATCTTTTTATTAGTATAGCTTAGTTTTGTTGTTTAAGCTCATGTAAAAAAAAAAAAAGAAAAAAAAATGTTTTTCAAGACTTTAATTGTTAAGAGTTTATACTAACTACTGTATTAAATCATTTAAGGTCAAAGATTGAAACTTTGTAATGTTAGAGAGTTTTTTAAAGCCTTAAAAGTTTTTCTAGTTTTATAGAGTTCACATAATATTTTTTTTTTATTTGTTTGTATTAGGAGATTACATTCATTGCTGAAATTTAAATAATAGAAAAGTATAAAAAGTTTATATTTCAAAGTTCGAATATCCCTCTCTTTTTCCTTTTCCTTTGGTTACCAAAGTTGAAGGTTAATATCGGTATATGAGTTGCTTGTATGCATCTTTATTCTGCGAGTAGTACGCCACTTCAGCCTGCAAAACATAAAACCAAATTCTTAATAATACAAGACAAATGATACAAAGGCAATGAAACTCGAGCGCTTCAGCATAAATTGGAAATGTTCAACAAAAACAGCTTTCGGTTGTGACACATAAAAGGTCGCCTAAAGATCTAATATGCAGGAAAGTATAAGTGTCCTACTGTTAACACCTTGTTCAAAATACTCGTAACTCATAAGGTTGATCATGCTTCGAATACTTACAAGCTTATATCATATAAATGGCCAACTTCAGAAGTATTGCAGAAGGCAATAAGATCATACATTGAAGAGGGAAAAAAGATATTACTATAAATGAGAAGATTACAATGCTATGAGTTCCATATAAAACAACCTATTGTGATTAGTTGCAAAGTAATAATTATCAAATTTGTATAATCAAGGTTAACTTTCAAACTCACACCTGCTAATAAATTTGGTAATAATATAACGTTATTTAATTTGGTATAAAGTTATGTTTGATATATGAAAATTTAAGGGGGGGGGGGGGGGAAACTTTAGAACCGGGGTAGATATTGACATGAGACTAAACTTCATACATGTAAAACCATTACCTATTGTAGCCTTCAAAACACACAAGGTCATGAAAGTGAAACATTGCAATCGAAATACACTTACCTTCCTAACTCCCTTTACTGCTGTCAATAGCTTCTCACCGAAAAAGTCTTTAAAGAAGGTGTCCTTGTGAAGAGCTTCTAAGGATTCAGAAAGTGATGTTGGAAGTCTCTGAAGTTCACTATCAAGGCTAGAAGGATTCGCTTCTGCAACACATATATCAAAAAACATGTCCGTTAACAAGCAAGTACAAACTCTATGTTATCAGGGGTGTCAATGATTCACTTCTTGTCTCCTTACAACCAAATTACTTTCTGAAGACTTTCAAAAGAAAACGAGTGTATACTCACATCTATAGTGGTCTAGCACCCCCTCGCTTAAAACAGGGTACTTTCATGCAAGGGAAGAGTAGTTACCATAGTCCTTACCCAACCCTTCCTAAAAGGGGAGACGGGAATAATTTTGAAAGTGCAGGAAAATTTTAGTTTCAAAATTATTATGCATAACAATATTCAAGTTTTTATATTTGATTAAGTTAAATTTAATTGCGAACACTTCCTTCACCTACACTTCAATTCAAATATCTTGTATACAATAATTTCATACTTCAACTCTAGATAATCTTACCAATAGGAGGAGGCAAAGTGAGGTGCCTCCGCAAGCCATCGATCCCTGCAGCAATTATAGAAGCCAAACCCAAGTAGGGATTTGCACATCCATCAAAAGATTTGATTTCAAAGTTGCTTACGAGACCATCTTCAACTCCAGGAGGGCAGGCAGTTCTCAAAGGAACTTCCCTGTTCTCTTTTCCCCAGCAATGATATGCTCCACTCCATGTATCCGGTTGTATACGATCATAACTGCAGATTATATAATTTTAAAATGATGCAAATTAGATAGTATATTTCAACAACATATGTTGATGCACATTAAATAATATGAAAAGGTTACCTACAAAAATTTTGCTACATAAACCTTGATAAACAGCAATACATGGAGAAAAAAATTTAGGCAGATTATCTATAAGTAAGCTCATTAAAAGCTGAATAATGTTCTAAAGAGCATAATATGTTCTTGAATCACATGTTAACAATCCACGGCAATATCATTTGACGGAAACTGCTCGTAAAGGGGTAGCGATACTGAATATGGGCTCATGCTCACAAGCTAACTTATATGAGAAATGAAGAATAATGCTTAGACTTAAACATTTGGAGAGAAATCCTCTGCTCAAAATGCTCTACATAATAATTAAATTAAAATTGTTACCTATTAGGATTTGGAGCAGTAAATGCCAAAATGGCGGGAAGATGAAATAAAACTCCAGCCATGAATTCCTGACCAACTTTCGACATTCCATAGCCAGATCCAGAAGACCCAGTAAAAACATTTACCCCATTTTCCCACAAACTTAGATGCACATGAGATCCAGAACCAATGTCATCCAATTTATACCTAGGGTGAAAAGAAAGAAAATGATTAAGAAGTCGACACCAAGATAACAAACATAATGTCGAGAATAATTATAAGACAATCATCATAATCAACCTATACACACAAAAAGAACAGGGTTGGAAATTCATATGCAATTACAAATTATTAGTGCAGTCTATGAAACTGAGTATCATACAATCAACAGGTAAGTGATAATAGTATATGATTAATAACATATAGAGATATAATGCTCAATTTTATGTGGATATAATACTAGAAACCAACTTTGAACTATGGGATAATTAATTGAGAACTATAAGATCACATACTTTTAAGTATGAGATACAACAATATGAGAATCATCAAAATATACTTGCCCCTCACAAGAGATAGCTGTGAAATTCTTCTATTTTAGTAAACAGAATGCAAGGTGATTTAGATACGTGCTTGTGTGAACCAAGAAAGGGAATCACACTCGAAGTTCGAATTCAAGTATGGGACTACACACATACATCAAAGATATATCTAAATACTTTACAATTCACATCATCGGGATTCGTTGAAAGAAGTTATAAGTATAGTTTTCTAGAAATTCTGCTGATAGCATCTAAATTCCTATAATTGTAATATCAGCTAACCCAACAGAATTAAAACCATAATTAACTATGATGTTAAATACTCTATACACTGTACAGTTATTTCTCGCTGTTGTCTAACACCTCAATAGTAAAAGATGTACAGAATTATTTGTAATAATCACTAACAATATCAACAAATATGAGCAGTTTTCTACTGCAATTTACCAGGGGAAAGATTCAACAAAAAGAGCTGCAAATAAGTACTTGGAATTTTCATAATAGGATGACAACAATTTTGCTTTAGACAAACAATTATATTCATCATCTTGCCACTTTAGGTTCAGACATGATACTTACTTTGGTGCAAAAGTTGCGAGCAATCCGTGTTTTCTAGCCACGCCCCTGATAGCTTCATGGGCAAAAACCAAATTATCAGCAGCACTGGTACAAACACTGTGTCCCAGTGCCATCTCAAATTGGCCTTTCCCTGCTTCGGCATGTATCTAGAGCATATAATGAAAAAAAATTACCAAAAGAATATCTGAGTTAAGACATTACACCAATAAAAAGAAATATGAAGTAACTCGCATTACAGTTTAATGGCAAACAATCATCACCCAGAACATTCTATTGTGACAATTTGTAACCCTTGGAATTTGATGAACTAGAAATTTCCCCATCCCATCAATTTTCTATGTAGACACTCCTAACATTAGTTTCTTAGAATTGATCAATGTCGACTTTTGCCAAAGGGGGAAATTTCCCTAGCATTCAGTAATATTAGTCTAAAGAATCATGATGAAACTAAATTACAAAGGCAACACATGAGCTAAAATTATATTATTAATTTCTTCAGAATGACAAAGTATTTGGTTAAACACCCTTTCTACCCTCTCATTCGGTTACTACATGATCGTTGGGCATATTTTGCATAAGAGAAGAAGCATTTTCCCCTCCATTTTTGGATTCTTGATAACACGGAGAAGGGAGCACCATTTAATATGTTGGAGAAGAGAGGAGTTGTTGATTTTTCTAAGATAAATTTATATTGATATCTTGGCTTGTATGTTATAATTACACATTTGGGTTGCAAATGATAGTGCAATGGGGTACCTCCGTACCTTATAACTATGATGCTCAATTGCTCTTAACCTATTCCTATATGGCTTTGTGATGCTTATGGTATGAAACTAGATTTTGTTTTTCAACAAAATTTACACATTTGAATATAAGGTACCTTGATAGATGCATTGGTAATAAGAAAAGAGGAAAACAAAACACCAGAACGAGAGACAACTACTAAGTCCCACTTCCAATCATGCACTCCCAATTGACTACTTGTTTACCAGCCATCCTAGTATCCATTTTCTATTTTCCAAGAAACTATCCGGAGACCAACTATTAAAAGTAATCTACTCCGTACCTGCTCCACTGAAATATCCAAAGCCTGAAGTGCTGTAAACATTTCATTGAGGATGTGAGAAGCTGCATCATATGATGAAGTTGAGCAATATGGAGTTGAATCAAATGGAACCCATTCTTCACTTCCATCCCTACAAAATTTTTCAATTTTAAATACCTGATACTATAATATCTTAAAACTTGTGGATACTAATGAAACAAAAGTGAATTAAAAGAGTGGAAGAATTAATGTAATAACCTTGTAATCAGTTTCAAGATATAAAATTCATTCTCAAACCCTGCATTCATTTCCTAGACATGATACACCAAAACATTTAGAGGTAGAACAACTTAGATTCGTATATTGTTGAAATACTAAGCAAAAAAAACGATACCAAATTAAACTCTTCTTTCATAACTTTTGCAACCCTCCTCAATGCCTCCCTTGGGCAATATTCCCATGGTTCACCAGGCTTCAGATGCATGTCAGATAAAACCATCCCTTCTCCATAAACCCTGACAAAGAAAATAGAAGAACCCAATAAGGCAAATAAGAAGAAAATATTAATGGATAGTTTCTTAAAGAACACAAGCACAATAAACATCTGTGAACAAAGCGCCTAGAAAGAAAGAAAATGATCCGGCATTGATAATCTTGAAAACAATACAATGTAATTACCTTATAGTGGAATCTTCCTAAACAATTCTTAAGCAGTACAGTTCAAGCATGTGAATTAGTGGAATGAAAAGTTACATAACAACTATTTGGACTTTATCTTACACTGCAATTACTTCCTTTAAATTGTAATGTAGCAACCAACAAACATGAAGCACCTTTCCCAAGTACTGGATTCATGTAAATAACATATGATGCATAACATATATGTAACATAAGTTCTACCAAATCTCCTAACGGGATTTATACAAAATACAGAAGCAAATTCCACAACAATATTCTAATATTCCACAAAAAAAGTAAGATTTATGTCTGTACGAGTAAGGAGAAAAAATTGTGAAGATTAAGATATTAAACATATTCTATTGAATATAATTACCATGGGATGTTTCTAAGGGTTGACATATCAGGAATAAGTCTGATCTCGCCTGTTCCTGTCAAGTTAGACTCAGCAACAGGACCATCCATAAAAGAGGGCATTCCCATGCACGCAAAAGTTAAACCAACACCATTTTTCTTGACAACATCATGAAAGCGCTTTATAGGAACAACCTGTATAATATCAGATACATTAACGACAACTCCAAATAGCAATAAGATTACCACAATGTATTTGACTTACTAAACTACAATCGGTGTATGAAAATAAAAAATTTAATACTCATAATTTTTATTTTCAAGATTGCAGAAATGATAAGAGTAAGAAGGAAGAGGGTAAATTTAGGAGCAAATCAAATTCACAAGATAGGCCAACAAATATTCTTTGCACAAAAATTTCAGAAATTCCGAGCAAATAAAGAATATGAACCAGCGCAGACTATTACCAAAGCTAAATTGATAATTGAATATGCTAGAATTTAAGAGAAAAACAAGTGAAAGATCTAAAAGGTAAATTCATGAACATAGGTATATATGCATATAGTAATACATATAATTTTAAATAGCGTGTGAGGTGACTATAGAGTTAGTAGAACTAAGCACTTTGTTTTGTTGAGAATAAAATTAGGCATGTATAGTTGTAAAATTATTTGTTTCATTTGCAAATATGTATTTTCATTCATAAAGGTAAGGTGAAAATTGTTAGTATGTCTAAGCAAGCACGTAAAAATTTAGAGAGGCAACTCATTGGCAAAAGAATTAAATACTTGAGGCTACAACTACCAGTCATAGAACATACAAGTAAGGTTCAAAGTTCAATAGTCTGGAACTGCTTGTTACTTATTACTCCATATTACTCCATAGTTCAAAGAAAAATGGGATACTTAAATGGTAATTCAATCGAAAACTGAACCATTATAAGGCATGAATATCCTTTGTAACAAGCAGAACTGTAATATAATAATGATGCAAGAAGCCACAAATTTCAAATTATTTCTAAGAAAACTTTAAAAACTTACACGACATCTGCATTGCCCTGAAGTATCGATCCAGATTACACGGACTAAAGTAATATGACTTTTTGGCAAAACAATTGTAGTCTCTCCATTATTATAAGGTATGGCTTTAGTTGGGTCCAATTTAACACTCTGTTTGATCTTGTAAAATTGAATTGCATTCTCAGCAAAAAGGTCCTTGGCTGCTTCCAATGCTTCAGGAATCGATAGATCTTCATCAATGCAAGAATCACGTAAAATCGAGAAGATAACCTCACGTGCTCGCCTGGCACCTATAAAATTGGAATGGGAACTGTGAGGACTATTGACTACCTTTTGAAACCTTCACTCAAAATGGCCAAACTACATCTCTAATATAATTAACCTTGTTATTCCAAAAGACAAAAGTGTACTGCTCCTACGCAGCTATATGATGTGCATGACAAATGAATGACCCAAAATAAAAACAATATCGTAAGTAAATTCTTCTAACTTACGGTCTCCAATTAAATCAAATGTCTTGTCACACACTATTGCTAATCTTATATGCAGACTACGGTGTTTCGTAGCCTAGGTAATACACAAAGCGTTAACATACTGGGCCCAACCTAGCCTAGCTCAGGATGCATATGTCACCTTAAACTTGACCAGATAATTAGACAGAGGCCTGGTTAAGGAGGACAAAATGTTACATATAATATTAGAAAGTTCAGGTTTTAAAGTCATGTGGATGTGGGTAATGATCCGAAAACCAACCACATAGTTAATAATTAAGATTTCAGCATCAGTTATCAGAGATTTATTACAGTTTTTTTAGACTTGAAACTCTAGTTCCTAATTTTACAGTGCCCCATATGTCAAAAAAGAAAATTATATGATAACAAATATGAACTTATTGATATATGTAGTCCATTGTACTGCATAACTACTGTAAGAATTTACTTGAAAATGGAATTGGATCTGAATTAAACCAAAGATGAACACACCTAAGTAAAAAGCTTCAGGAAATGCATAGCCATCAGTGCTGAACATCACCTGTAGAAAATCACCCCAATGTAAGATATAATGTAATATATCAAGTTTCATCTTTAGAAAAACGTAATTCTGTAGCACACATTTCTTGTAAACACGTCACCTTTTTTATAGGAGCCAGCTCTAGTAACTCTTTAACTGCAGATTTCATCCCATTGTTGCTTAGTAAGAGAAGTCCCAATCCAAAGTCAAGATAGACCTAGCACATTAAGAAAAGCTTAACTGCTACTTGTAAAATTTAGCTATGGCATGAAGTGAAACAAGTTTAGTGGCATAAATGATACCTGGGGATAAACGCTAGCCAAGTATGATGCTTCCTTTGAAAATGGATAGGAAGCATGTAACAGAACAAATCGACATTTGTCAAATCTTGCATCTTCAAGTACCTTTCGAAGATGAAGTGGGTTTGATGTCCTTAAATCTTGATCTTTGTCTCCAAACCTATGGCCAATACAATTTAAAATCTTAGTGCAAAGAAAATTACAGTATAGGGAAAAAAAATACAAGTTTATCTTACAAGAAGAATAGTTAGAAGACAATAAAGAGCACACCAAAGCACCTAAAATTAGTAATTACTTCCCCTAATACAGCAACAATTATTATTTAAGAAAGGTTTACAACTATTGCAACATCTCTGTGTTGGGAAGGTGCTTATGAAATCCCAACTTTACTCACATAGGTGTACTTTTTTTTCTTATTGTAGATAACAAATTGGCAAGTTGTCCACACATTATTTCCTTCTATTAAATTGTATGCAGATAGCAAGTGTCAATAATATTAAGGAACAGAGGAATATAAATATAAATTTATAATATACTCAAAGCAATTGACTTATAAAGTAGGTAAATACCCTGTGTGTATTTGGATTGGCAAGTCAAAGTGCAAAGCAACCTCCAAACTACGAATAAAGATATAGTCAATTAACTTCTTATTTGCAATCCGAACAGGCTTCCCAGCTGTAAAATAGAATAGACACAGAAGTAAGTATGTATGTTGGTTATGAATAATATGACATCTCTCAGGTTTCACTCACCACTTAAAACTTCAGACAGGCCATTTTCAGCATCCTTTTCGCTGATATATGGATCAATTTCTAGACCACCACGATATGCAGCTATACTTTTTAATCCAGCCACTGTGGTAGCTAATGTGGAACAAAGGTCATGGAAACCCATAACAGAAATTGAAAAGGCATATTCATCTTGTCATAATAATCATTCACATTACCATATAATAAACACAAGGATTATAAATTATAATTGCAAAGGATATGACTTCAATTTTTCAACAAAAACTTCAGTAAACTTGTTCAGCGTCCATGCAGCTCCATCAGGCAAGTCCTATAATATCATGCAGACAATACAAAAACATACTCATAAATCAGAGAAATGTTACATATGCAAGGATCGAGAATATAAACAAGATTGTGAAACCAAAGATTTAAAACTTTCATGTTTAAGAATGTGTGAATAATGTCTTTTTTCCCATATTTGTACTAAAAAAGCTTGAAAATAACATACTAGACAGGAAAGTTCAAAATTTTTAAACTAATAAAGAGCCAAAATGTTCTTACTTCATCCAAAATTTTTCCTGCCAAGTGCTCAATTCGTAATATTCTCCCAACAAAAGGCACATAGCTCTTATGCCACTCAATCTCATACTTGTTGTCAAAATCAAGACCATCGTCAATAAGTAATCCTGCGATCCTTGCAGCTTCAAAACATGTTGAGCTAACAGAATCTATTCCAGAGTGTTTCCGATACTCTTCAATGTCGTACAAAGATAATTTGCATTTATATAGTTCAGCAATTTCCCTCACCCCCCTCTGAGAAAAAAAAAAAAAAACCATCAACAAGTGTTGTAGCCAAATTATGAAATGATTATTACTCAATTTAATTCCAATAAAAGATGCAGCACGACATAAGTACATAACTATTCAGGAGAAAAGAAAAAATCTGCATAACAAGCTAACTATTTAGTAAATAAAAATGAAACAGAAAGAATTACTTGTAGTTTATAATAAAGTTATCATAGGATTGCAGTATCATTTTACATTCATCAAGCACTAGTGCACTACACTCACTAATTGAGAAAGTTGCTTGATATTGGTGTATTGTCTAACATATTTACTAAGTCATTGCATCAACGGAGTAGCCAAACTTGGCATCAATGGGAGTTGTATATGAAACACAGTGATGGTTGTTTATTGCTATTGCAGGATTAAGGACAGGACAAAAATTGATGCTAGCACCACTGTCCTTGATAGATATGGTTATCAAAGAAAAAAGCTATCAAAAAGGTCATCAAATATAATACTACCTCAGTACCTCCGCTACTTTTAAGTTGCAACAAAGAAATTTTTATATCTCACAAAAAATACCCCTTTGTTGAAACTAAAAAGTAACGGAGGTGCTAAACACCACATTTCATAGATATAGTTCACAAATGATAAATATAAAATCTTATTTTGCACATTTTACACATTGTACATTTTCAGACCTTTTTACTCACTTTTTACAGTTAGGCCTTGTTTAATATATAAAGAAAAGAAATCTCATTGGATTTTGTTGGATTCATTTCAATGTGTATTTTTATAATATCAACTTTTTATAATTTTTTATTAAATATTATTAAATTAAATATATGAATAATATAAGAAGTACATTTAAGTCTTTAAGATCCAACTAAAATAAAAATAGAAAGTTCTTTAGGATTGGTGGGAGTAAATAACTTAAGTTGAAAAATAAATTTAACATTTGCCAATTTGAGGTGCCCTTAATTAAAGATACTTGTTTTTCTCTAAAATTAAAGTTAGGACCTACACGCTACACCCCCACCCCACAATCCAATTTTTTTTACCTTTTTCACACTCTTTTTCAGCATTCAAAAAGTAGATGTTGATAGCCTTAAAATGGATAGAAAGAATACTTAGAACACAGATCAAATTTGACTAAATGTCAAATTCTAAATGTTAAGAAGCATTTGTCAACCTTTCTTATATAACATCATTATCCTTGTTGCTTTTAGGCCTCTTGTTAAAATTCGTTGCATTTATAGGTAGCAAACCAATTATGAGGGTAAAGGGACTTAAGGGAGCATTAAAAGCAATGAACTACATTTGAATTTAAAGAACTCCTCTTAGTTTAGAAAACAAATCATAGTATGACCTCTCTGACAAATCTATATAAGTAAAAACATATTTGTCCCCATGTGTAGTTTTAAAAATCGAAATATTAACCTTTTACTCTTCCATGTTTTATTCATTTTTTTAGTGTCCCAAAATATTATGTCTATTTTTAGTATTTTTGTTTTGTATTACATAGTAATTTTATCATAGTACACCTACTCATTTTATTTTTCCTTATATGAAATATCCTTACATAACCTATTTTTTCGAGTCATTGTTTAATTTTTTTAAACATTCCAATATAAAATACCCTTTGTGAAAAATGAGGAATAGATACTATCTTAAGGGACATTAATACATTATCACTTTATTACTATTTATATGTGGTTAAATAAGGTATTAGGAAATGTACAAATATTTAATACGGAGTAGAAATATAATTTTGAAACGAAAGGAGTATTTCAAGTATATGACAGATTATCACTTTATCAGTCATAATCCATGTACTACATAAATGTACAAGTAATACAACAACCAACCTTTCTAGGAAATTAGGGAACATATTTTAACACGCTAAAAACAGATTAACACTGAAGTAATACTTAAAGAAGGTGTCACTAACTTAATGACAGATCCAACAACGATACTCCACCTACTCAGCCACCACTTTACCACTTTACCAACCAATGTCCTTTTTAAGAAAAATACTTGTCGATTGAAACATGCCGGTACATGAGTATGAGTAATACTTTTTCCGTTTTGAATTAGATACATTACTTTGATTAAAAATGTGAGAAATATTATATTGAGAGATATGATCAATTTATAATGATGAACAAGGTATGAGTAGTACATCAAAAAAAATAGCAAAAACTATTACTTGTATTAGATAATCACTTTTCATTTACATCCATTTTTTTTAATTGATGGGTCATTTTCAAATAAGTAGGGGGACCTTTTTGTAATTGTTGGGTCATTTTCAAGTAAGTAGGGGGACCAAGACCACCAAGTGAGCATGATTATCCAACAACTACGAGTAGATCGAATTTTTGACCAAAGAGAATAAATAATTAGGTGATGATGCATTGATGCATGTAATATTGATTTCTAAATTGGTGGGGGGTATAAGTTTGAAAATTCATGGCAAAAACACAAGTGAATTGATTTATTTAATGTTTATTTATAATGAATATTTCCCTTATTCAGCTTATTAAATGTCACATTTTCTTCAAAAATATCCAACCTTAAACGAAAAACAACAAAACAAGTATTGGAAATTTAAAAAAAAAAAAAAAATTAAGAAAATAATTGAAAAATTAATGCAGAAATCTATATATTTTTTTTTTCTATTTGGTACAAAATCTATCAAACAAAAAATCAATAAATATCAAAATGAGAAAAAAAATTAATCACCCCCCTTTCTCTTTGATGGATGAATATTTTACTGAAAAAAAAATATGTCTCTCATAAGCATTTTTGGCATGATCTAACGATAGTCAGAATTTTGCAAACAAAATTACCAAGGATAATGATCATATTATCCCAATTTTCATATTATTCGCAACTTTAAAATATAATATGAAATGGAGATTGTATAATTAATCACATAATGACATAAATGTACTCATCTCTCATCAAAAAAAGCAAAATGTTTTCGAAATTATCACCTCCAATTTTGGCATGAACTAACGATAATCAGAATTATACAAGTAAATCACAATAAATCAACTTGGTTGAAAAATTAATAAAGTAGAAAAGGAAGAAATAAAAGCATACAATAAAAATAAAAAAAAATAAAAAAAAAAGGTTACCTTGAAAGAGAGAGAGTGAGGAGCAAAGGATAAAGCGTCACCATCGGCTTCGGTAAAGCATTTGATGAATGGAAATGACGAATTTATAGCGACGATATTGTGAGCATGAGCGTCGATTAATTCTAAATTGTCAATTGTTTTTTTCAGTTCTGCAAATCTATCCACTTTTCTACATCTCAAACTCATACTTGTAATTTATAAGTGGATGAAGTTTGTTTGAACTTTGTTGTGGGTTTGCGTTTGCCGCTTTGGTGTTTGGATAAGCTCTGCTCTTATGTTTTGACTTTGGGAGATTATTTACGTTATTAATTATAAAGTACTCTATATAATGTTAGCATAACTTATCAATTAAGGAAGTATTTGCGTAAATGAATGTGGACAATACTTTGTTGTAGTATTAGACTACAATATATTAGTATATGAATGTGGACAGCAATACTGAGTATATAAGAAACCAATAAAGTGTTGGCTCACTTATTAAGTTTTTATCTAGATTTTAGAGGTTTAGGTTTCAAATCCTACCAAGTGAGGGTATTTGGGGGGTAGAAATTCTCTTACCCTCTCGTCTACTCTCAAATGTCTTGCCCTCAAATACTAGATCAAAAAAACTGTGGGCGTTGAGGTCTGGTCGGGGTCCTCTTTATCAATTTTAAAAAAGTACGAGTATATATGGAGAAATGGGAAAGAAAGGTTAAAGACAAAAATACCCTTATATGGTCTAAAATATGAGTCTAACCATGTTAATATATGAGAATAACATCCAATTTTATCCAAAATTGTCTAAAACAATAATTACTCTCGTCATTTTTGACAATAGCAAATATATGTTGGTATCTTTACACCTTGTGATTGTACTTGTGGGTACAACAATACTAACAAGAGACAATTGGTAATTTAAGATCCATATTAGTATGCTCCGTAATACGTATACCAACAAGAGATGTAAAAGTACTTGTAGACATTTCATTTGTAATTTCTTGTTATTGTTTTTTTGTGTTTAAAAAGCCAGAAGGGCAGGTGATGAAAATCGATTCCAAGATGTGCTGGAACTGGGAGGGGAGCTCTAACCACTTGAGTTATCCTTCACTCTCTAATTTTTTGTTATTGTGATCTATCCTAAAAAATTTATCGGCATGTAATTTCTCTATTTATCCCATCTTAATTAAACATTTATTTATGTGCCACTTTATAAAAAAAGTTTTTATTTTTTATTTTTTATTTTTTTATTTTTTTTTGAAGAATATTACAAAAGTTTTTAATACTTACAAAAAAAATTAGGAAAATTTGTCAAAAATAAGTCAACCTTTGCGCAATTAGCTTAAAATAGGTCAAGTTTTTTTTATTAATAAGTGAACCTTTATAATATATCTTCCCAGTCATGACTTGTTGTTTTTGGGGGTAACCGGTTGTTTAGGTTAAGTATGCCACATGTCATAAAAGGATTGGTTCATTTTAATTTAATCAAAATGAATGGTTTGATTAAATTTTTTTACAAAAATTCTCCTACCTCTACCGTAGAACAAACTCCAACCTAACTCCCGCCGGCCACATCTAGCTCCCTCGTCGACCACTGTCGTCGATCTCTTTCTCTTTCTTCAATTCCCTCCCATCGCCGCCGCCTCTACTCCTTGCCCATCTCTCTATTTTTTTACGTTTAGGTTGGTTGAATCGAAATGTGGGGTGGGTTTTTGGTGGTTAGGGGTTGGTTTCGGTGATTAGGGGGTGGGTTTGGGGTAACTATGGTGGTATTCTGGAGATTAATGTGGGGATTTGAGTTACGTATGGTGGTTTTTAGGTGGGTTTTTGTGTGATTGATCTCGGCAAGCGTAGGCCGATGCTAAGAGAGGAGGCAGGGAAAAGGGTCGGCAAGTGTCAGGAGGGTGGAAGAGATTGAGAGGGATTAGGGGTGAGGGAGGGCTGGCGGTGGGTGATGAGAGAAAGAAAAGCATCCGCGGGGGAGGTAGTCTGTGCTGCGGTGGCTAGAGTGGAAGTAGGAGTGGAGGAATGGCCTGTAGTGGTGGGTTTTTTCTTAAAAAAATTTAATAATTAATTAAAATAAATAATTTTTCAATAAAAAAAAGTGACTTGATATGTAGGTTGTAGGTAATTTGACCTATTAAAAGAAAATATTCCAAATTTAACTTATTTTTAGTTAATTAAAAGGTTGATTTATTTTGAGCTAAGCATGCAAAGGTTGACTTATTCTTAAATTTTCTCCTAAATATCTTTGTTTGTTTACTTTTTCTTATTATACTCTGTAGCAACTAAAACAAAAGGGCAGCAATTAGGTAAATGAAAATGTCATATGATTGGAGGTGGTCAGGTGGGTGGTTTTGGGCGGCAGAGGAGGGAGATGGGGTTGAGTCAAGCATATGGAGTTACGAGAAGTAAGGACAAGCGTTAATTTGGTGGGCTTTTAATGGGGTAATATTTGGGAAATTGGGTATGTTACAAACTTAATTACAAGTAAAGTCGGTCCAGCATGAAAAAAGCACGGCACGACACATTTTATGGGATGTTAGTGTAACCGACATATTTCTGTATTGTCGTCGTGACGAGAATTTTTGGTCATGACCTTCATTTCTTGTTCGTTGCGTTGACGATTATCCTACAAAATCAACGAAGTTAGAGTACTGTTAACGGCCAACGGCCCTTTGATGCTTGAGTTAATACTCGTTGGCAGAATAAGAATTAAAGAAGAAGTAAAATTCGGGAGTAAAGTCTGAAGAATTACCTTATCGTCGATAGAGATTTTTGGCATTCTAAAAGTGATAATTTCTCAGGTTGGTCGCGTTCCAACTTATTGGAATAGGTTTACTTTCTTTGTCGCATAATTGGTAGGCGCCGTTGTTGACAACTTCGACGATCTGGTATGGTCCTTCCCATGAAGTGGCCAACTTTCCTTCAGCGGGATCCTTTGTATATTAGAACACTTTTTGGAGTACCCAGTCACCTAGTTGAAACTTTTGGCGACGATTTGCTGTTGTGCTACCATCTTAATCAGAGTTGTTTCCTTCATTTCTTCAGTTGCATCCAAGTTATTTTCCATCTCTTCTTGGTTGCATTCTTCTTTCATAAGGCCAAATCAAGACGTTGGGAAGTCTACCTCTACTGGGAGGACGACTTCGCATCCATAGACGAGGGAGAAAGGTGTTTGCCCCGTTATGGACCTTGGTGTTATCCTGTTAGCCCACAAGACTGGTGAGAGTTCGTCGGCCCATTTGCCTTTGGCTTGCTTTAGTCTTTTTCTTGATGGCATTGATGACGACTTTGTTGCTGGATTCTGCTTGGCCGTTTGCTTGTGCATATCTTGGTGTTGACGTTCTTAACTCTATTCGGAACTTCTTGCAAAACGAACGAGTTTTGTCGATGATAAACTCTAACCCGTTGTCATAGACTATCACTAACGGGATGCCAAACCTGCAAATAATGTTCGTCCATAAAAACAAAGTAACTTATTTGTCCGTTACCTGTTTTAAAGTGATTGCCTCGATCCATTTTGAAAAGTAGTTTGTCAGTGCCAGCATATAAACTCTCTGTCCCGGTGCAACGGGCAGCTTTCTAACGATGTCCATTCACTAGTAGAAAAAAAGAATTAGGCAACCCCCCTATGGCAACGGTTCATGAAAACCGTTGCCAACTTGCTGTGAGCGCCATTTTAAAAAAAAAAAAATTGGTTTTATTTGGCAACGGTTAACCGTTGCCAATTTAAAAAAAAAATTCGGGTTTTTGAATACAAACAGCAAGCTGTGCAAACGTTCTTCTTTCACCTCCAAAAACGCGCGCCTTCCTTTCCCCAAACCATTCCTCCATTGAATTGAAGCTTCCATTGAAGGGTTTTGTTCTTCTGCCTCCCTCAAGCACGCACTCCCCTGTTCTTATGCCTCCCTCAAGCACGCACTCCCCTGTTCTTCTACTTTCACCCCTCAAGCACGCACGCACTCAGCTCTTCTCTTCTGCCTCCCTCCATATATAGCAGCTCCTCCATTATTGAAGTATGTAGCAGCTCCTCCATTGTTATAGCGCTCCTCATTGCTAGGTAAGTCGTAATAGCGCTCCTCCATTGTTATGGTTTTTGAAGAATTGGTCTTTAAATTAGTTAATATTGACAATGCAAGTTGCTTGTAATTGCTAGGGTTTGTCAAGAATTGGTCTTTTGTGTTAGCATGAATTGGGTCTGTGATGTTGGAACTTGAATAGAGTTATTTATAGTTAGAAGTTCCTTGGTATTGAAAAGATGATATACCCTTGTATCTTATTACTATAATTTGACAGATGTTTGTGATGATACCGTGTCTGTCAAACTGGCTTCGAATGAATTGAATGAAATTTTAGCAATGCACCAACTGCCCTCAACTTTGTTGCTGCTTTCATTGCTGAATTTCAGCCAAAGACATGGATAGAAAACAGTTGTTATTGTATTTAGTACAAGCTACATTTACCTATATTTCTAAATTGTTATGAGAACTTTATTTATCATCACTAATAAAGTTGAGAATTTTATTTTGTTTATAGGATAATTTAGTCCTTTTTATTTAAGAGAACAAAGTTGAGAGTTTAGGGTTTAGGGTTTAGGGTTTAGGGTTGAGAGTTTAGGGTATAGAGTTTAGGGTTTAGGGTTTAGGGTTTAGGGTTGAGAGTTTAGGGTTTAGGGTTTAGGGTTAAGGGTTAAGGGTTAAGGGTTTAGGGTTTAGGGTTTAGGGTTTGAATATACTTTTCTTTATGAGTTGCTTCTCACTATATATATGCGTGTTTCAGGCTAAGAAATGGGTGTCAAGGGCTTCTAGGGTAAGATCATCAGTTTGGAGAGTGGGCGGAAAACATCCTGGTATGGTATCTTACTCTGACTGTCCTTGTTCTTGCATTGCTCACTAATATCATTCTTATCTTTTCCCTTAATCTGGTTTTCTATTTGTGTTCTATATAGGTTACACTGAAAAAGATTATCAGGATTTTTGGGCGAAGCATAGACCTTGGCATTGACCTTCTATTTGAGAGTGTTGAGCCTTTATAGGTACTCAGGTATATATATATATATAAATTTATGTGCATTAAATAAGTTCTTGGTTGCACAATTTTGTGGAGATGGTGTGTGATATAACTTTGGTGCATCTTCTATCATGATGTGTGATTAAACCATTGGTTTTTAATTGATTGCATGTATCATCATATGCCTAGATACCCGTTCAAGGCTTTCTCATTAGGAGAAAGTCTTGAATAGTCCCCGGTTGGGACTGTTCTTGAACGTTTATTCTCACTTAGGTGGTGAATGTATGTCAGTTTTTTCGATTTTAAGGAACATCTTGGCTTAGCATTTCCTGGATCACCATG